TTCTCCTTCATGTTCTCTTCTCCTCCTTCTCCTCCTCCTCCTCTCCTCCTCCTCCTGCAGCAGATGGCTAACATCGACTCTGACCGTCTCTCTCTCTCTCTCTCCTGGTTCTGCTCTCGGTGTTGTTCTGGACCGACAGTCGTTCTGTTAGATAACATGTTATCTAAATTGGTCCTGAGGCTGTTTCCTGTCTCTGCTCAGCTGATCCTGAATCAGTTTGTCGTCACGTTTTTCAGCTCGTTTCCACCTCCTCTCCTAGTCTCCTCGCCTCCTCCTCTCTTGGTCTCCTGGTTTCAGTGATTCTGAGTCAGTTTGATCAGCTGATCGGACGCCACAGGTGAGCTAAAGGGTTAAACCCTCCGAGTCTGTCGGTGCCGCAGGTTCTGATTGGTTCAGATCAGGTGACATAATAACTTCAGTTTTCACAGATGGACTCAGCGCTGAGATCAGGTTCACGTTTTTACTTCAACCAGCTTCACGTTTGTTTTTTTCTACATGGAAATAAGAGGAGGAGTGATTTTTATCAGGGGAGTAAATCTGATAAAAGATCATCTCTGTTACAGTAAAATAACTATATTATATAAAACTAAGTACCTTCTGGATATTTATGTAGTATAATATAAACAAAGTACTCTCTGGATATTTATGTAGTATAATATAATATAAACAAAGTACTCTCTGGATATTTATGTAGTTTATTATAATATTTTATAAAGTACTCTCTGGATATTTATGTAGTATATAATAGTATTTTATAAAGTACTCTCTGGATATTTATGTAGTATATAATAGTATTTTATAAAGTACTCTCTGGATATTTATGTAGTATATAATAGTATTTTATAAAGTACTCTCTGGATATTTATGTAGTATAATATTATATAAACAAAGTACCTTCTGGATATTTATGTAGAATAATATTATATAAACAAAGTACTCTCTGGATATTTATGTAGTTTATTATAATATCTTATAAAGTACTCTCTGGATATTTATGTAGTATAATATAATATTTGATAAAGTACTCTCTGGATATTTATGTAGTATAATATAATATTTGATAAAGTACTCTCTGGATATTTATGTAGTATAATATAATATAAACAAAGTACTCTCTGGATATTTATGTAGTTTATTATAATATCTTATAAAGTACTCTCTGGATATTTATGTAGTATAATATATAAACAAAGTACTCTCTGGGTATTTATGTAGTATAATATAATATAAACAAAGTACTCTCTGGATATTTATGTAGTTTATTATAATATCTTATAAAGTACTCTCTGGATATTTATGTAGTATATTATAATATAAACAAAGTACTCTCTGGATATTTATGTAGTATAATATAATATTTGATAAAGTACTCTCTGGATATTTATGTAGTATAATATAATATTTGATAAAGTACTCTCTGGATATTTATGTAGTATAATATAATATAAACAAAGTACTCTCTGGATATTTATGTAGTTTATTATAATATCTTATAAAGTACTCTCTGGATATTTATGTAGTATAATATATAAACAAAGTACTCTCTGGGTATTTATGTAGTATAATATAATATAAACAAAGTACTCTCTGGATATTTATGTAGTTTATTATAATATCTTATAAAGTACTCTCTGGATATTTATGTAGTATATTATAATATAAACAAAGTACTCTCTGGATATTTATGTAGTATAATATAATATTTGATAAAGTACTCTCTGGATATTTATGTAGTATAATATAATATTTTATAAAGTACTCTCTGGATATTTATGTAGTATAATATAATATAAACAAAGTACTCTCTGGATATTTATGTAGTATAATATTATATTTTATAAAGTACTCTCTGGATATTTATGTAGTATATTATAATATCTTATAAAGTAATCTCTGGATATTTATGTAGTATAATATTATATTTTATAAAGTACTCTCTGGATATTTATGTAGTATAATATAATGTTTGATAAAGTACTCTCTGGATATTTATGTAGTATAATATAATATTTTATAAAGTACTCTCTTTATCATCATCCTGCTTCTGATACTCTCCTCTCCTGTGATGACTTGCAGTTTCACAGTATTTATTTGTACTCACACTGTGGTAGTACTGAGGTAGTATTTGTGGTATTTCCTGACTGTAGTATTAGTGTTGTTGTTATTGATGAGTATCCGTCTGTTTACTGTGTCCTGCGGCCGCACATCGAACAGGAAATGAGCGAGTAAATGATCGATAGATGAAGCTCAGAAGCTGACACCATGAGGTCAGAAACGCTGGCTCAGAGCCGCACATGCTCAGTCCGCTGCCGTGACGGACTCAGAGAGAGTGACCTTGACTGCAGAGACGCAGATATTTGGATTTATTCTATTTTAATTTTTATATTCTGACAGTAAATGAATAAAAACCTTCACTAATCAGCTGATATCCTGTCGTCTTTTGTGTTTTTCTGCTCGGTGCAGCAGATCTGGAGTCAGCGGGCCGTCAGTGCAGTAGATGTCAGCGCTGCATTCATTATGAAGAGCTGACCCCCCCGAGGATTGAGTGTCAGAGGGGGGAGGAGGTCTGAGAGGAGGAGCAGCAGCAGGAGAAAGTGGTTTTATAGTGGACCTGCTCTCAGGTTACAGAACTACAGCCTCATTAAATCCTGATTATCAGGACAGAGCAGCTCAGATACGAAACAGGACGCTCCTTATTTTCCCACAATGCACTCTGGTTATTCAGCCTCTTTAAACCTGTGTGTCGTTGGTTAAACTGACGTGTTTTTGTGCCGTTTGTTTAAATAAAAGTCTTTAATTCAATCAGACACAGCTGTTACATCATTCTATCAAAGGCACCAAACCTCATTGACTAAATCAGCGATTTTCTCTCCTGGATCAATACATGTATTAGTGCTTTATTGTGTTTAATCCATAACGTGTTGGAACTATTTCAAACTGTTCTGTGAAGTTAAACTGTGTTTTAATGAGGGAGTCTGTGTTTGCAGACATGATCTCACATTATTATAACCATTATAATAATGTGGACACCATCATACCTGCACATTAAAGATGTACATTAAGGGTGGTATTTCATAGTATTTAATAGATAAATTCATCTAAATATGATGTAGATTATAAGACATGACTGCTGATTCTGAAAGACGCAACATTAAACTGCAGAAAAACAGACAAATACAGGTGTGACTCTTTACTGTGTGCAGGTAGAGTCAAATTAAAGTCTTTAAACCTGAGAGAGAAAACAGCTGCACTTATATTCTGAACTTTACGGTCATTGCTTTGCAGCTCTTTGTCCGACCTCTTCACTACTTTTACTACTTTTACTCCACACTTTGACCTTTGACCCTGAAAACAATCCCACGCCTGCACACTTCCTGTGACCCTCCGACAGGTCAACTCTCCTCAGATCCTGCAGGTCAGTGTCCCAGCACGCCAGCACATTATTTACCAACAGATTCCAGTAGATACACCTGAGTGTCGTCCCACTGAATCCAGTCCAGTTTAATTTGTGAAATAATTCTAATATGAACAGACATGCAGCTCAGAGTGCTTCACCTTAAATACAGACAGAAGACGATTTCTAAAGACCGAACCAAGAAAGAAATAAAACTACAAACTAAAGTCTGTCAAAAGTTAAATAAGACGACCTGAATCTCTGCAGAAGAGCGATGATTTACAGACGGACAGAGCTGCAGGTTCAAGAGTTTTACACTAACTAACAGAAATCTCTCTCTGCAGGACGTCAGTGTGAAACATGAGGAACATGAGTTTGAACATGAACATGAATTTCACTCACTCACACTTCATTAATGCTTTCACAACCTGAGAGAAACAACCGGAGCCTGTCAGGGACAAAAACAGGAACTTGAGGTGACCCTCTCTGATCCTTCAGAGACCTTCAGCTTCGACCCCAAATATTCAAACAGACAAATGTAGACCAGGTTTACCAAGACCAGGGTCTGGTTTTCAGGGCTCCTCTGGTTCACAATCTGAGTCCTCAGAGAGATAGAAAGGAGAGCGTGTGTGTGTGAAGGTCCCTTTGAAACTGCAGACTTCAGCTGGTTTAGTGTGTGTGTGTGTGTGTGTGTGTGTGTGTGTGTGTGTGTGTGTGTGTGTGTGTGCCCCCCCTCTCCATCAAAAGACCCTGACATATTGATGTTCGGTGTTACCATGGTAACAGGCCCACATCCCCCACCATCACCATCCAGTGATGTCTCTCTCTGCCTCTCTTGTCATCTGCCACACACACACACACACACACACACACACACACACACACACACACACACACACACACAGCTTGCTGCAGTCATTGCAAAGCATGCTGGGTAAGAAAATGTGGGAGCTCCCTCAGAGGATCACAGATCAGACAGAGACTTAATGAGCCCGTTAACCGTGCAGTTGCTATGGGAACGACCGTCCTGAAGCGTGTGACCCCGATATGATACGACGATGAAGCAGAGAGAGGAAGAAGAGAGACGGGGAATATTAGCTCTCCTGGTCAGAGAGTCAAACTGTTACTGTGTTCCAGTGTGTTAAACCGTAACAGTGTCAGAATGTTACAGTGTTACAGTATGTTAAACTGTTACAGTGTTAGAATGTTAGAATGTTGCAGTTTTACAGTGTTAGAATGTTAGTGTTTGAATTAGAAGTGTTACAGTCTTAGAATTTTAGAATGTTGCAGTGTTACAATGTTAGAGTGTTAGAATATTACAATGTTTCAGAGTTAACATGTTACTGTGTAAGAATGTTAGAATGTTACAGTGTTACAGTATTAGAATGTTGCAGTGCTAGAGTGTTAGAATATCACAATGTTTCAGAGTTAGCATGTTAGAATGTTACAGTGTTACAATGTTGCAGTGTTACAGTGTTAGAATGTTAGTGTTTGAATTAGAAGTGTTACAGTCTTAGAATTTTAGAATGTTACAGTGTTACAGTATTACAATGTTGCAGTGTTACAATGTTAGAGTGTTAGAATATTACAATGTTTCAGAGTTAGCATGTTACAGTTAGAATGTTAGAATGTTGCAGTGTTACAATGTTGCAGTGTTACAGTGTTAGAATGTTAGTGTTCGAATTAAAAGTGTTACAGTCTAAGAATTTTAGAATGTTACAGTGTATGATTGTTGCAGTGTTACATTGTTAAACTGTTACAGTGACAGACTGTTAGAATGTTTGATTGTAAAGGTGTCAGAGTGTCATGAAGCATTCAGAAGTTTCTGCCCAGAGTGACGACAGTTCCTAAACGAGTAAAGGTCTGCAGTGATGGAGGAAAAAGAGACACCTGAATGTTTGTTACAGCCTGATCAGAACCCATCCCTGAACCAGAACCATGAAGACATCAGCTGAGGAGAAGGAGGACCTGAACAACCAGAACCTGAGAGAGAAGACTGTGTGAGAGCAGGACTTTGGAAACCAGATGATCAATAATCTGTGTAATCTGTCTAATCTGTGTTTTTGAAGTTGTGTCATTTCTGCGCCGTGTTCCTCCTGTTTAAGTAAATGTGGGATTAAGAGTCCCAGCCCTGAGAGAATGTGACAGTTTGATTTAGTCCTGAACTTAATGATGTTTTTGGATTATTGGTCCTTATTTGTTATTATTGATCCTCTAAATAAACCTCGAGTTCCTCAGATATCATGAAGTTGTCAAAGTTAACAGATTTATCTACAGATGAGAGTGAAGTCCTCAGACAGCTTTAGATAAATTCATAAAAATGTCTTCTGTCAGTTGAAGAAACAGAATCCTGAGTATCTCTAATCCATTCAGGAGTTATTTTATAATCTCAGCTGCAGCTCCAGTTTAGAGATTAACCTGAACAGAGATTAGAATGAGGAGGAGCTCACACTCTCTGAAACGTTCATCTTAATAACATCATTCAGCTTCTCCTCTCCTCCTGTGTCATCAGGACCTTCACGCTCAGACCGGGCTCAAGGTGGAGGAGTCTAATCAGAGGTGGAGGAGTCAGAGGTGGAGGAGTCGGAGGTGGAGGAGTCTAATCGGAGGTGGAGGAGTCTCTCTGTAATTCATCTCATCATGTATCTAACAAAGAGAGCACCAATCTCCACCTGCTCCTCCCCCCCTCTTCCTACCAGCCTGCTTTCCTCCCCCCGCCCCTCTGGGACTGTCTGGTAACCATAGCAACCGCATCCTCCAGGCAGAGAGCAGAGGAGGAGGAGTAGGAGAAAATGGAGTCAGTCAGAAATCCAGAAACATCTCCTCCTCTCAGAAATATTTGAGCTCTGATGAGTTTGTGAATCTGAAGATCTGAGCGGCAGACGATCATCTGAGCTCTCAACCCCGCCCCCAGAGAGCCGCCACTCTCTAAACGCTAAATGCAGGCTGGAATAACCACACTGACTTAAACATCAGCGTCCAATCAGCTGTCAGAACTGGAGCATCAGAACCAGACTGAAGGAGAGCAGAAACCAGAACACCTCAGAACCACCTGAAGGAGCTTCAAACGGACCTCAAAGTTCTGATTTAAACTCAACAAAGTCACAAACTGACCAACCACATCAAGACTCACACTCAGAGGTCAAAGGTCAGTCTGTTAGAAACAAACATCCATCCAAACAGGATCAAGTTCTGGACCTCAGAGTCCAGAATCTGGACTGACCTCTGTCTGTGACTGAGTCCAAGACTTTAAAACTCCAGGGAGAGGACCACGAGGTCCTCATGATGTCCTCCTGACACATAAACACACCTTCACAATAAAACCTGTGACGCTTTATTTTGAAGGGGACAGCACACCTTCACAATAAAACCTGACGCTTTATTTTGTAAAATGATGAATTACACATTAATTTGTCAGTTTTTTAAACTTCAGCTAAAGTTCATCCCTGCAGCCGTTTGAGTCTGTCCTCCACCTTCAGTTTGAGTCTGTCCTCCACCTTCAGTTTGAGTCTGTCCTCCACCTTCAGTCTGAGTCTGTCCTCCACCTTCAGTTTGAGTCTGTCCTCCACCTTCAGTCTGAGTCTGTCCTCCACCTTCAGTCTGAGTCTGTCCTCCACCTTCAGTCTGAGTCTGTCCTCCACCTTCAGTCTGAGTCTGTCCTCCACCTTCAGTTTGAGTCTGTCCTCCACCTTCAGTCTGAGTCTGTCCTCCACCTTCAGTCTGAGTCTGTCCTCCACCTTCAGTCTGAGTCTGTCCTCCACCTTCAGTCTGAGTCTGTCCTCCACCTTCAGTCTGAGTCTGTCCTCCACCTTCAGTTTGAGTCTGTCCTCCACCTTCAGTCTGAGTCTGTCCTCCACCTTCAGTCTGAGTCTGTCCTCCACCTTCAGTTTGAGTCTGTCCTCCACCTTCAGTCTGAGTCTGTCCTCCACCTTCAGTCTGAGTCTGTCCTCCACCTTCAGTCTGAGTCTGTCCTCCACCTTCAGTTTGAGTCTGTCCTCCACCTTCAGTTTGAGTCTGTCCTCCACCTTCAGTCTGAGTCTGTCCTCCACCTTCAGTCTTCACATGTTTACCGTCTCTGTCTTTATTTTTATTGTGTTGTTCTGGTGTATCTCTTGAATTTCTGCTCTCTTAGCGTCGTATTGATGAGGAATTACTCAGTTCAGGATAATTATAAAGCTTCTCTACTAGAGTAGACATGACGATAAAGATCTTCAGTGTGATTCAGAGTTAAAGTAAAGTATCCTCAGGATTTTGGTTCATTTGACTCAGAACAGAAATATTTAAACCACGTTGTTGTTTTAAATTGATGCCCCGACTGAAGGAAGTTCACAAACCTGCAGAACAAACGTCAAACTTTATGACCAAATATTCAGCAGCAGGTCCGACTGTCTCTGTGCAGCTTTGATTCGACAGGTCTCAAAAATATCTATGTATACTTATCTATCTATGTATCGATGCATCTATTTATCTATACTTATCTATGTATCTAAGAACTACTTTCAGCAGCGGATGAATCCACATTTGTTGCTCAGTGAATATTTAGGGCAGCAGGACTGTGGTGAGTGAGTGTGAAACACAACAGAAGCACGTTTATACACACACACACACACACACACACACACACACACACACACACACAGTTGCTGATATCAGTGAATTAAAAAATAAAACAGAAATCAGATAATGAAGGTCTCCTCTGATGTTCAGATTCAGATCATCTCATCTTATCAGTTAGCAAACAATCAGAGGAAGAAACACCTCACACATCCAGGAAATACACAGAACCATGAACCACACAGAGCCAGGAAATACACAGACCCACACAACACAGATCTGTGAATTTCAAAGATTCATTAATTACACAGATCCACAAATCCATGAATTACACAGATCCACAAACAACACAGATCCATGAACTACTTAAAACCATTAAATACTCAGATCCATGATCCATAAACTAGGCCTACGCAGAACCAAGAAATACACAAATCCATGAACTACACAGGTCCATTATATAAATAGATCCATGAATTACCCACATCCCTCCTGAAGGAGGATCAGCTGTTGAGTCAAAAGGCTCCAAACAGAATCAGTGAATATTAAAGAGATGAAACCTCCCAGTTCAGAGAAACCAGTACAGACTGGGAGAGACTGGGAGAGACGTTCAAGGGCCAAAAAAACCACCGAGCAGACTGGAAACACTACACAACCATATACACAACCACATCAGACAAATACACACACATCTCCCGGGTTTGGTTCAGACTAACACCTGGAGTCCACAGACCTGGTTTTACAGCAGAACCGAACAGGTGCAGACTGGACTTAGAGGGTCCGGTTTCCTGGTTCTGTTCCGTATTTGACCTCTAAAGACGGGGTTTAGGAGGAGGTCGGGTTTTCTCTATGATTCATCCTCACCTCCTCCATCCTCAGCTCCTCCATCCTCTGTCCGCATCAACGAGGACACATTAAAAAACGGGACGCACCCCCAAAAACCCGCAGCAGCAGCAGCAGGGCCGGACCAGAAACACGACAAAGGACCAGATCCAGAACCAGAGGGACCCCTGAAATCCTCTAATTCATCTAAAAACCAGATTCAGGTCCAGAATCCGCCTCTCCTCCTCCTCCCGTCTGCCATCATCAGCCTCTTTGTCTTTACCCGCAGATTCAACAACAGAACCGAACAGAACCGAACAGAACCGGACCGAGAGGAAGCAGCCGAGGGGTCCGGTCCGATTTAGAGAAGAATAAAGACGGAGAGAAAAGAGAGAAAATGAGAATAAATGATTAAAAAAAGAGGAGAAGAGAGCTTACCTCATGACTGCGAGGAGAGCTGAAGATCACTGAGGAGGAGAGAGAGAGGGGGGGGTGAGAGAGAGGGGGGGGGGAGGGAGAGAGAGAGAGAGGGGGGACATGTTTCTGTTTTTGCAGCTCAGTGAATATTTTTATTTTTCTGTTGTTTTTTTTTCTCAGACTGTCTCTTTCATTTTTTTTAATATTTAAAATTTTGATTAGAAAAAAAAAAAAAAAAATTAATTAAATTTACAAAAAAGAACAACATTAATATAATAATTAAGTACATTAATCAATAATTGTTTGTGGAAACACCCGATAGTTAAATATTGATTTAAAATAGATTTAAAAGGTTTCCTCATATTTTGCAGGTTTATTGACTGTTGAGGTTTTTCCTGTGATAAACTGTAACTTACATGTACGGTGGCCAAGATCTGCCACTGCTGCAAATAATTAAAAAAAAAAAAGTCACAACAGAAGTTACTGATGCAAAAAAAGAAACCAAAGTCCGCTGCAAAATAAAAAAAGAAACGGTGCAGATAAAAAAAAAAAAAGAGCCACGACAAAAGTTAAAAACACAAAAAAAAGTGGTGATGGAAAAAAAAAGTTACTTACTGTGAAAATAAGATGAAAATAAAAAAAGCCATAACAGAAGTGAGCTGCTGGGACCAATAATGACTCTGTTTCCTGTCTCCTCAGTTACTTCCACCTCCCTGAGATTATAATCTCATAAATGAACACGATGCTGCATTAAAAAAAAGACTGTCAACTAAAGATTAAATAGACTCACTCATTAGGAAATGGGAATCAGCTGAGAGGCCAACAGTTGACTTCTTTACATTCAGGCGCCCTCTGCTGGACATGAGAGAGACGGCAGGTTTAAGGCCCTCCATCTGCAGCTGACCTTCATCTATGTCTATAACTCTAGAGTGACATTACAGGTATGAACACATCTATGTAAACTATCTCTATCTAAGAAAACATGCAGTCAGAGTTTGTTAAATAAGAGTGAAAACAACAGACTGAGGATGTCTGTGCAGTTTACATCTGTGTGATCCACCTTCACCTGTAACACCTGTAACACCCGTACCACTCTGATTCACTCCTGACTGTACTCCTGGTTTGTGCTGACTGTTTTTGTACAGTCCTCCTTTTTTCTGATCTTCACAGTTTTTTTGTTTTTATGGACGTTTATTTTAATGTTATAAAAAGACTTGATGTAAACTGAAGTGTGTCCAAATAAACGAATAACTGTTTCGCTCTGATTAAATTAATCACTCTGTGGTTTTATATGTTGTCCTCTCTATGACATGTCTGTTACCATCATAACGTCAAACATGGTGATTTTTGATCACATGGATATAATCTTTGTTGTTTTATTTATTTGTTGAATTGATTAAAGTGAACACATTCATTGATTTTTGAGTTTTTGTCTCTTTATCTTCTTCAGTCTTTACTGACCGATTTATATTTTTACTTCCTGTCTTTGTTTTGCCTGTTACAGGTTTGTAAACATTTTGAGATGATATAGAAATTATTATTATTATTATTATTATTATTATTATTATTATTATTATTATTATCATTATTATTATTATTAGTAGTAGTAGTAGTAGTAATATTGATTGATCTTTCCCTTAATGCAGTACTTCAGTTGGCCGTCAGGGGGCGCCACAGATCAGTCAGTGTTTCCTGTTTCAGACTCGCTCTATCACTGTGATTTAGAGAAATTAGCTGGACTAGATTAGATAATCCCTGTGGATTACAGAGGATTATGAAAACCATCTCAGATTAAAAACAGCTTTTACAGCCGCTTATTTAACTCCTAGTGTTTGATTGAACTCCAGTCAGAGCCAATTTTCTCTCTTTTTTTCTTTATCAGCTCAATACCTTGAAAATATTTAAAGGGTTTTATTTTTTATAGTTTTTAACACACACACGCACACACACACACACACACACACACACACACACACACACACACACACACACACACACACACACACACGCACACAGTAATTAAAAATAAACTTCATACATTTTTGTCTTAAAGGTTCACTCGGAGTATTTTTTCTATTTTTTTTATTGTGCTGATGACGTCATTCTGTGACGTGGATAGAGGTGAAGGCGTGAAAGAAAGAAGTATTTTTACTTTAAGGAGGAGGAAAAGGAAGTCTGACTGCCTCCTTCAAAATAAAACATCAAACCTCTGAGATTTTTGTCTCTTTCATTTTCACCCCTTCAATTATTTATTTATTTATCTGTTTGTTTGTTTGTTTGTTTGTTTGTTTGTTTGTTTGTTTGTTTGTTTGCAAATTACTTACTTTGAGTCTGCAACTTTGAAGTAAGTCGCAAGGACTCTGGAATTAATTTAAGCAAACAGGAAATGAAAGTTCACTCAGATCAGATTATTAATTAGATTATTCTATTTGTCTTTTATATTAGATTATTGTTGAGTTTCCTTCTAGAGATAAATAAAGTTATTCTTATTCCTAATAACAGTCATACACAAGAAGAGCATTAAAAACCTGTGACAAATATGAAAAAAATAATTATAACTACAATTATTATTATTATTATTATTATTATTATTGTTGTTGTTGTTGTTGTTGTTGTTGTTGTTGTATTAATTCATCTTTTTTTATCGAGGGCTTTAAGGTCATAGTTAAATAAGGGCTTTTATTCTGAAAAACCATATGAAGACTCCCTCAGCGGAAGTCAGGTTTCTTGTTTTTTGAGCTGAGGAAGAAGGTGACGACGATGATGATGATGGAGGGAGGAGGAGGAGGAAGAGGAGGGCTGATGTGTGCTGATCAGCAGCAGGTCTGATGATGAGGGTGATGATGATGATGATGATGATGGTGATGAAGATGGTGATGATGATGAGGATGAGGAGGATGATGGGGGTGATGCTGTGAGTCAGAGAGCGGAGGTTCAGGATGCTCACAGCCGCTCCAGAGTGAGGAAAGCCCGCACACAGAGGACCGAGGCTCCGCGGAGACACGGTGAGTCCGCTCACATCACACCGACACTCGAGCTCCTTCAGCGGGCAGAGCGCAGACAGCAGCCCGGGGGCAGAGCTCCACAGCCGGTCTGATTTCTCCAGCCGGCTCGGTGCTGCCGGGGCTCTGATTTCATAACTGCGTGTGTGTGTGTGTGTGTGTGTGATGGTGCACTTTCATCCAAGACACTGGTTGCGCGTGCCCAGCTGTGCGCGCGCGCGTGCTGTTGAAGGCAGTCAGACTAATGAGTCTGATGAGAGGAGATAACGAGGCCGACTGAAGAGCAGGGAACAAAGCAGCGGGTCAGCTGAGTGTCTGGGCGCGTGCGTGTGTGCGTGCATGTGTGTGCACGTGTGTTGTATAAGCATGTTTCCTGTCGTGAAGGCAGAGAGCATGAGAGCCCACCAGAACCAGAGTCCTGAGACTGGACCCCGGGTACCAGTACCAGGTACCAGTACCGGGTACCGGGCTTTAAGATGAGACACTCTCCTGCTGTTACTGATTTAGATTAAAAGAGTCTCTGATTGGTAAAAAGTTCACATGCAGTCATAAAAGAGGAGATGGTGAAGGTAGAATACTGTAACCTGGTTCAGGTAGTTCTTGTCAGAGGTGAATAAAGGAGAACCAGAACGGAGGAGGACAGGGAGTTCTTTAGAGTCCACCAGGTCGAAACACTCGGTCTGGACGAGTTCAGTCTAAAGTCTTCTGCTGATCTTAGAGAGGTGTTGGTTTCTGTAGAGAGCGTGTCGATTCAAAATCAAATTTAGAACAGATCAAAGCAGAAAACAGGAATATCTGAACTGATCGATCACTTTGATCCGATCAATAACAGTTCAGTGAGAATACTAAATAAGGAAGTTCAATCATGTCAGCCGTCATGCAGAGGAATCGAGCTTTATGAGTTATAGTGATAGAAACGGGACAAAGTTTGATCACCGTCTGTACTGCAGAGTTTATCTGTGATCAGACTTTATTGATTATCTGTTGATATAACTGATTTATTGATTGACTGTATGGTGATCCACAAACTCATGTCAGTCATCTCAGAGTCTCATGTTCACTCACGTTTTAAAGCTCCAGTGAGAAACTTTCTGTCTGTCTGTGTTGATTTTGGCGCCCTCTGTGGACAAACTCTGAAAGTGCTGCTGTTATAAAAGAACTCCTCCTGCTGTCGTTTATTGATTACCACCAAGTGAAAAGACATGATCATTTCTCCCTCTGTGTGATGTTCAGTTTGAATCTGATAAAATGTTGTTTTTAAAACGTCTGTTCTTGTTTTCATCGAACTAAATTCTGAATGTTCTGGATATTAAAGAACGACCTTTCAGATGTATAAAAAAAGGAGTAACTGGAGACAAACACACGTCTAAAAAAACTCGCTCTGACTCACATCACTTTAACAAAAACACCGACAACCAAACCAGTGTCACTCCGGTTTGAGTCCAGACCGTCAGAAACTCTTCAGACCAGATCACAGCGACTCTAACAGGAACTCTCACTCTTCTCCATCAGGTTTATAGGATTTAATAATAATAATAACTCACATTTGAACAGACTGAAATAATTCATAAATATAATAATAATAATATTAAACTTTAAGGTTAAAAACAGCTTCAGTTTCTGTGAGGAGTCAGAAAAGATTCAGAGAATATGAAGGTGGAAATGTTCAGAAGAGGCTGTGAGTGAGAATAAAGTGAGAATGAGAGCTGAAGGTGAGAAACTGTGTGTGTGTGTGTGTGTGCGTGTGTGTGTGTGCGCGTGTGTGTGTGTGTGTGTGTGTGTGTGTGTGAAGGTGACTCGTTCCTTTTTTAGACGCTACAGTCTGGGATAATTCTCTGTTTTTAACGTCAGATTCAGATATTTCATGATGAGCTCAGAGTCTTTATTAAAACACTGAGTCTGTCTGTTTGTCTGTTTGTTTGTTTGTTTGTTTGTTTGTCTGTTTGTTTGTTTGTTTGTTTGTTTGTCTGTTTGTTTGTTTACACTTCATCTGAGTGGACACACATGTTGTAAACGTTCGTTTAGTGTGGAGTACCACAGGGCTCGGTTCTGGCTCCACTTTGTTGTTTCCTAAAGAAATCAGACGTCAGTTTTTATTCCTCTCCCTGTTCAGCCGTGTCGGGGTCTTTGATTGATCAGGACATGTTTGATGATGAAGATGTCGTCATTATCTCAGAGGAGTTTGATGATGTTGGGCTGTGAAGATCAGAGTTTTTGGAGGAAACCTCCAGCTCTATCGATCAGTTCTGGATCTCTGCTCCTCTGAGGCCGTGCGCTCTGTGGTGTTTCCCCTGCTGCCCGCCTACGCTCGGGAAGTGATGTCATACCATGTGGGTGGACGGGTTACCATGACAACGACCCCAGTGATGATGATGATGATGATGGTGATGACATGTTTGCACTTCTCTCCCAGTGTTCACATCTCTGCCGTCCGTCTCTCTCCTCCGAGCGCTGCTACCAGAGCGCTGACAGCTCATACACACACACTCACAGAGTACATGCAGGTGTCACCATGGTAACACACAGAAACACAATGGAAGCTGACAGGAGGCAGATTGACTAACGAGCGCCTGATTAGTCACTGCTGTAAATCTGAGTGAGATAAGGAGCGCTGACGTCAGCCGAGCTCAGAAACACCAGATTATTACATGGGGTTTGGTTAGGGTGTCAATGAGAGGGAGATGTCATTATCTTCCTCATCATCCTCAACATCGTCATCATCTTCATCCTCACCATCATCCTCACCATCATCATCATCATCACTATCAGCTAGGCTTAGAAACGCCGGATTATTACATGAGGTTTGGTTAGGGTGTCAATGAGAGGGAGATGTCATCACCTTCATCCTCATCCTCAACATCATCATCACCTTCATCCTCATCCTCAACATCGTTATCATCATCATTATCAGCCGAGCTCAGAAACGCCGGATTATTACATGAGGTTTGGTTAGGGTGTCAATGAGAGGGAGATGTCATTATCTTCCTCATCATCCTCAACATCGTCATCATCTTCATCCTCAACATTGTCATCATCATCATCATCAGCCGAGCTCAGAAACGCCAGATTATTACATGAGGTTTGGTTAGGGTGTCAATGAGAGGGAGATGTCATTATCATCTTCATCCTCAACATCGTCATCATCTTCATCCTCACCATCATCATCATCATCATTATCAGCTAGGCTCAGAAACACCAGATTATTACATGAGGTTTGGTTAGAGTGTCTATTAGAGGAAGATATCATCATCATCATCATCATCACCTGACCCTGACCTTGAGTCTGACCCTGAGTCTTCGCCGCGGTGTTCAGAGTTTCACTCGTCCATGAATCTGAACCTCACCTCTAACTTTGTTCTTCTTCAGTATTCAGGCCCGTTAACCAGAGCAGCAGGTCGACCCAAACTCCCAGCATGCCTGAGCAGAGTAACGATTACCGGGTGGTGGTGTTTGGAGCGGGCGGCGTGGGGAAGAGCTCGCTGGTCCTGCGGTTTGTCAAAGGCACGTTCAGAGACACGTACATCCCCACGGTGGAGGACACGTACCGACAGGTGGGACCTGAACGCCGTCCGCCCCCTGATGATGATGATGATGATGATGATGTGTTATTGATGTACCCGCTGCATTATTGATCAGCACCTGTTCCCTCTGCAGGTGATCAGCTGTGACAAGAGCGTCTGCACGCTGCAGATCACCGACACAACAGGAAGTCACCAGTTCCCCGCCATGCAGCGCCTCTCCATCTCCAAAGGCCACGCCTTCATCCTGGTTTACTCCATCACCAGCCGCCAGTCCCTGGAGGAGCTCAAGCCCATCTACCAGCAGGTCTGAGCGGGTTACTGGGTCTCCTTTAGTCCAGATGGTTCTGATTTAAAACGGCGTTGGTTGGCGGTCAGCAGCAGATGGTCGAGAGTTTAGATCCTTCATGAGTTCCTGGACTCTCTGAGCGAGTGGGACGGTTTTAGAAACCGGTCCAGAAAGTCCAGAACTGTCTAACTGTGATGAGTTCAAACTAATCCATGACTGACGTGATCTCTGTCCCTCCAGGTCCTCGCCATCAAAGGCACCGTGGAGTCCATTCCCATCATGCTCGTGGGCAACAAAAGCGACGAGACGGCGCAGCGCGAGGTGGAGACGAAGGAGGGTCAGGCTCAAGCCAACGCCTGGAAGTGTGCCTTCATGGAGACGTCGGCCAAGACCAACACCAACGTGAAGGAGCTGTTCCAGGAGCTGCTGTCTCTGGAGAAGAAGCGGGACATGAGTCTGAGCATCGACGGGAAACGCTCGGGGAAACAGAAACGAGCCGACAAGCTGAAGGGGAAGTGCAGCATCATGTAGAGCGAGGACGCCGCCGCCGCCGAGAAAACGCCGAATGTTAAAGACGACACGGGAGGAGGGAGAGAGAGTCCTCTTCCTCCTCCTCCTCCTCCTCTTCTTCTTCTTCTTCTTCTCCGGTGGATCTCATCCTTCGTCTGTCTGAACTCTGGAGCCCAGAGGAACAAAACACAGACGGACCAAACTTTACAGCCGAGCTGAACCAGAACCAGAACCAGAACCAGATCCGTTCTGTAGCCCCCTGAAAGAGTTTACACAGCAGACCAAACTGCTGCCATCGTTCACCATCACGCTCATGATATTAAAGGAACAGTCCGCGTTTTTTCACCCTGAGCCTCAAAGACTGAAACTGAAACTGAAACCGTTTAACGCCTGAAACCACAAACTAGGGCCAGAAAATTCTGATTATTTTGGAGCTGAAATATTTATTTCACTTACGACTGAAAATCAAAACAAATCAAAATGTCCTTAAAATTAAACAAATATATTTACATTTGGAAACTGATCAACTACAAGAGGACATTTTTATCTTTTATCTGACTGTATTCAGGTGTTTTTTTAGTAATTTTTTGATCAAATTGATTTGATAAAAGTTTATAAAAGTATTTATCAAATATGAAACAAAAGGCATTAAAGGGTTAACTAAAAAAAAACAGAAACAGGTGAATTATTATTGAGTTCTTATGATCCAGATACTGAGAGTCTGCGCTCGGTCCTCTTCAGCTCTGGGTGAGGCCTAACGTTGCTGACATGCTAACAACATTTAGTCTCTAAGTCTACGTTCTCTCTGCAGGTTCTGATCCACAGTTCAGATTTCTGTTCAATCCGATCTTTTTGTGCGGTCGTTCACGTTACAACAACGAATGTGTCTGTGAAGTGACCCTCATGAACACAAAGCAGGACGTGACGTGATGTTTGTCGAACAATGGTGACGTTTGTCTCATATTGATGACGTAAAGGTCGGATAAACGCGACCTGAGCGTCACACTGCAGTCACATCAGATACATATCTGATTTATATCCACATACAGAAGAGGGTCGGATCAGAACCAATCAGAACTGACCTGCAGTCTGAACACAGACTTAATGTCGTACCTTTAGTCTGGTTGGTGCCCCCTGGTGGAAGAGGAGGGTAAAGGTGAAAAAACAGCGAAATATTCCTTTAACTGATGAGCCGTGACATCCCCGCCATGATTGTTGTTGACTGATCGTCTTCACGCTCAGGTCTGTTTCCTGTGGTCATCAGATGAACGTCTGCGGGCCGCGTGTTCGTACAGCGGAGGATCAGGACTCCCCCAGGATCAGGACTCCCCCAGGATCAGGACTCTTCACTGAGGCCTCGATGGTTCCCTCAAGCACAAACCGCCTCTTTGTTTTCACCCGTTAGCATAAAACGCGAAGCTGCTAACGGACCAGCAGCTCCGCCTGTAAATACCGTTTAAAGGACCAGTCCACGGTTTTTGAATGTTCATAGTCCTGATACAGACCAGGTTTAGCCTAGCTTAGCACTGAAAACTCCGCCTTCACGTCATCATCCTGTAACAGCGTTGAACAGACTCGTACCCGAGGACGACCTGGAATGTCTCTGATGTCCTGGTGCATTGTGGGTTTTGTGACCTGAAGATTAGCGTTAAAGCCTTACCTGAATGTTTACCTTTCTTATAGAGGAGCTCGAACCTCCGACCTTCTGTCAGATCCATTAAAGTTCATTTTTAAGACCTCTGTGTGTGTTTCCAGGTTTTTCCAGGTGTCTGATTTGTGATTCCAGGGGGCGCTGTTTCTAACCCCAAGTGTCCACCACATCCTGAACGTCTACGAAAAGGAGATTTTTCACAAAACCAATGAAATCTCAAATTTGGATGTTTGTGCAAAAAACGGTTTGGGGTCAGGAAGTCTGGTCAGTCCTGGTTTCAGGTCTGGTTTTAGGGAACATGAGGAGACCTCAGAGACCTGAGGGGTCCAAATCAAACCATGTAGGTCCTGTTTAGATAGATTTAATCTTGGAGATCCAACCATACGGTAAACCACCCAAGTGTGTCAGAATCTTCAGGACCCTAAATCACATCTCCACTCGCCGAGTAAAAACCACCAACGGCACGACCGATGACTTTGACATCGTCACCGGGGTAAGACAGGGTCACATCCTGTCTACTTTTTATCCCAGTCATTAACTTTGTGACGAGGAAAACTGTCATCGGGTCAAACCACAGCATTAAGAGAGGAGGGGGCGGACTGGCAGATCTAGACTTTGCAGATGATTCGGCGCTCATTAGCCACGCCCACATTGTCAAACAACCTGCATGAGCAAAAGTGGGTCTACGTATGAGCCAAGACAAGACCAAGGCCATGACCGTCGCACAACATCAACACCTTCCACCGCTCACCATCGGTGAACAAGACATAGAGAACGTCGAGAACTTCACTGACCTCAGAAACAACATCTCAAATACTGGAGAAAGACGCACAGACCAGAAGTGGCAAAGCTGCAGGAGTCTTCCAACGACCCCGGAACATCTGGTCGTTGAATTCCATCACCACGGCAACAAAGCTACGCCTCTATATGTCAGTGGTCATCCCTACAGCGACCTACGCCTGTGAGACGTGGACGTAGACAGCCAGCATCACCAACAAGTTGGATGTCCTCCATGGACGGTGCCTCAGATCCATCCTGAAGATCTCATGGAGAGACTGTGTATCTTCTACACGGAACAGACGGTCTTATTTTCACCAAGAACTCACTGAGATACGACCGTCGTTAGGTCCAAAGCTGGATCAGGTGTCCTGGAGCTTAATGAGACACAGGTGTGTCTCTGAGATGAGTGACAGGTGTGCAGGAGGAGGTCAGATGACGGAGGAGACATGTCGTACCGAAGAGTCTCTGATGAAACCCGAATATTGTGAAGAACATCTCTCAGTGAGGTTCTTCAAGGAAATGAGAGAAAACCAAGAACTGATGTGACTGAATCAAGTGAAGACCACTGACTGGGTCTGTTTCCAGCTGAGGAAACGAATGAATGAATGAATGAAAGAGTCCGACTGCTCCCAGGGTTTCATCAGCTGTGACGGTGAACAGGTGCAGAAGGTCCTCATGTCTCCACAGCTGGGGGGTCGTCTCGTATCTAAACCTTCATCACGTCAAACATCAGACTTTCTAAATGACAGAGAAGTCTCATGTTTTCATCCTCATGTTCTCACACACAGCAGAAGTGAACACATGAGTCCAGGTCCTCCGATAGGTTCAGTTCTGCTGCCCCCTGGTGGAGAAAGAGTGGATGACCGTTCACAGTTACATCACTGTGGGAGTGGTGAGCGGAGAACAATGAACAACATGTTCCCTCATCACTCTAACACACACACACACACACACACACACACACACACACACACACACACACACACACACACACACTCAGTGATAAAGTTATGATGTTATAATAAAGAGCAGTTAAAGAGGTTCAATTTCATTGATGAGTGTTTTGTCCTTTTTTATTCCTCCTTTGGTTTGTATCTGTTTAAACAGAGGAAACTCTGACCAATCACAGCCCTCGATTGTCCCTCAGGGGGCGGAGAACACAAATGCAAAAACAAACATAAATACACAATAATACACATAAGATAATAAATATGTTTACATCCAGACAACTGAGACCGGCACTCCCTCCAGTATCCAGCAGGGGGAGCCAAACCAAATAAAGAAGAATTAAAAGATTCATAGGCTGTGTCTCATTTCAGAGACCGCATCGACCTAAGTGCCCTTCTGCACCGTCGAACGGTGCATTTGAAGTGTGCATGACGTCACGACGGTGCGAACGGTGTCCCGTTTGGCACGAGATGCTAAAAAATGCTAAGCGCGCTTAGCATGTTTTCAAGCGTGCATTTATCCACGCTTTCGTGCCGTCGGTATCCCAGAATCCTTTGCGTGCCGCTGCACAGCTGCGCATTTCAGGTGAGAGGCTGGACTCGCTTGGAGACGCAGCGCGTCTTCAAAGAAATTACAAGCAATCCAAAAACAGCAGACAGTCAGCTCAGGCTGTATGAGAGCATGATCTCTGAACTCACTAAAATCTGTAAACCAAACATTATAGATTTAGAGACGAACTGATCCGCTCTGCTTCAACTATCAAAAACATTAGAAATGAGAAAGCTGACAAAACTACAGCAGAGTATCAGGACAACATTGAGGTTTTTTTCTTTTAAGATTTAGAGATTAAAGTTGTAAATTTAGGAGAATAAAGTCATAAAGTAAATAAAGTCATAAAGCTGCTTTTGTGGAGGGGGAAATGACTGAAGCTGGTCATCTGCAGGGTTATCTGTGGATGTATCAGCGGGTCATTCAGAGAGATTTTGTGGTTTCTGAAGAAACAATCAAACTGATGATGATCAACATTTGTGATCCAGAGGGAGTCGAGCTCCGACGAGCACCACGTCTCTGACACCGGCCGTAGCCTACACCTGCAGAAACACCAACACCTTATTATGGCATATGGATTCATATCATAAATTAAAGCTCAATGTCATTCACGGATATTTACGGCTGCATTGACAGATATATCCTCAGCATATTCATTTCTGCCTCCACAAAAGCAGCGATTTCCTTCAAGTACACCAGTTTTTTTCCCGTGGAAAAGACGTATTTCTCATATATTCTTTTTTTAAAGTCTTTATACTTATGACAATGTGATGCTGATGTGCCAGAGGATGAAGTATCCCCTATCCTCCTTCTCAATATGGCCCTCATACTCCTTCATACAAAACAATCATTGGATGAATTTTGTGGGAATGATCTGTGCTTGTATGTATCTACTATTTTGTGTCTGTGCAAGGTCGCACAATTAAAACAATACATGCTGCGCTCCGCAGCTTTTTTTCTAATCAGTCGTGACGTAAGCCTGAGGGCGGGGACATTTGGAGACCTTCGGAGGACTTCCTGGTGGAGTTGCCAAATGTCCCCGCCCTCAGGCTCGCGTCACGACTGACTTAAAGGAAACCCGCGGAGCGCAGCATTTATTGTTTTAATTGTGCAACCTTGCACAGACACAAAATAGTAGATACATACAAGCACAATTCATCCAATGATTGTTTTGTAAGAAGGAGTATGAGGGCCATATTGAGATTTAAGACTTTAAGGACTTCGAGATTTAAGTCGTGAATTTACGAGAATAAAGTCATTAATTTATGAGAATGAAGTCATAACCTGTTATTTCAGAGAGACTTGTTAAAATTAGGGCCATGAAGCATTTGAAGGAACTGTGCTTCAGTATAGGTTTCACAAACAAGGAGATTCTTCATCCTCTGGCACATCAGCATAACATTGTCATAAGTATAAAGACTTTAAGAAGAATATATGAGAAATACGTCTTTTCCACGGGGGAAAAATATTGGTGTACTTGAAGGAAATCGCTGCTTTTGTGGAGGCAGAAATGAATATGCTGAGGATATATCTGTCAATGCAGCCGTTAATATCCGTGAATGACATTGAGCTTTAATTTATGATATGAATCCATATGCCGTAATAAGGTGTTGGTGTCTCTGCAGGTGTAGGCTACGGCCGGTGTCAGAGACGTGGTGCTCGTCGGAGCTCAACTCCCTCTGGATCACAAATGTTGATCATCATCAGTTTGATTGTTTCTTCAGAAACCACAAAATCTCTCTTAATGACCCGCTGATACATCCACAGATAACCCTGCAGATGACCAGCTTCAGTCATTTCCCCCTCCGCAAAAGCAGCTTTATGACTTTATTTACTTTATGACTTTATTCTCCTAAATTTACAACTTTAATCTCTAAATCTTAAAAGAAAAAAAAAACTCAATGTTGTCCTGATACTCTGCTGTAGTTTTGTCAGCTTTCTCATTTCTAATGTTTTTGATAGTTGTAACACAGCGGATCAGTTCGTCTCTAAATCTATAATGTTTGGTTTACAGATTTTAGTGAGTTCAGAGATCATGCTCTCATACAGCCTGAGCTGACTGTCTGATGGTTTTGGATTGCTTGTATTTTCTTCGAAGACGCGCTGTGTCTCCAAGCGAGTCCAGCCTCTCACCTGAAATGCACAGCTGTGCAGCGGCACGCAAAGAATTCTGGGATACCGACGGCACGAAAGCGTGCATACATGCACGCTTGAAAACGAGGCGGGGGTAGTGTGGTTTTGAGACCGAATTTGAAGCGCGCTTAGTATTTTGTGCCAAACGGGACACCGTTCGTGCCGCGTGGTGACCTCACGTACGCGTCAGATGCGCCGTTCGATGGCTGCTGTATCTGAAATGGGACACAGGAAGGGCACAGAACGGCGCAAAACGGCGTAAAACGGCTCAAAACGGCAGTGCACTCAGCTAAGCGCCGTTAAGCGCGCTTATCACGATGCGGTCTCTGAAATGAGACACAGCCATAGAGTAAACTAAGAAAAATATAGTTTTATACTAAATATACTTGATCACATAGAAGAAATATTAATTCTAAATATTATAACACCGATTGTTTTTACAATACGCCAATAATTATAATAAAGTAACCTGTGTAGTTTTGAGTAGATATCTGTGTGTTTAATATGTAGGTGTTTATACAGATGTTTGTCATTTACATAATTTTTTTTTTTTTAATTCTCTAATCTGTGAGGAAGAGTCAGGACTACATAAACTCTGTTTCATTCTGTTTCTTCTCAAACTGTTTATTTTTGACAAACATGTTAGTGTACATTTATCTTTGACGTGGACAGATGTTTTCTTTTCTTTCTAGTTTATTTTTAATTTTTAATTTTTTTTAAATTTGCTCTTAAAGTTTGAGATAAATAAAGAAGAAAAAAAGAAAGAAAGAAAGAAAGAAAGAAAGACTGGGTCATGATAAACATTATTTAAAGTATTTTTTCCTCCAGATGTCCAGCAGAGGGAGCTCTTACTTATTCCCCAGTTTTAACTAATGTCTCCTTTACCAGGTTTTCTTCGAGAGGTCCAGCAGGGGGCGCTGTAAGTGGTTCCCTCAGTCCTTCAGTTAGACCTGAGTGCAGGATTGGGGTTGTGGAGTAAAGGGGGGCCCTGAGGACCTGCAGAGGTGTGGGGTCAGCTGCTGCTCCAGCTTTGGTCCTCTGTCTGCAGGTGTGTCTCTGTCCTCAGGTGTGTCTCGGTCTGCAGGTGTGTCTCCTCCTGCTCTCAGGTCTGCAGTCTCTCACTCTCTGTTGAGGGTCTGTTTTTGAGTCTCAGTGGCTCCATCTAGTGGACGTAAAGCCTAAATGCTGTAACGACTACGCTGTTCAAAATCTACATGGATGAGCTCTGAGGGAACTGTGGAGCTTCTGTAACCTAGCAACAGAGGGCGCCAGTGAGAGACGCTCTGTAATGGAGGTCAAAGGTGTTTACCTGACTTCTGCACAAACAGACGGAGCGAATGTTGGTTTGGATGTTCTGGACAGAAGTTTCCAAACATTTCCGTCAGGTCGATCAAAGATCTGAACGCTCTGCTGTTCCCCTCAGAGAGATTCCCAGCAGCTCTCCTGGCATCAGGTCAGGAACCTGAGGAGGAGGAGGAGGAGGAGGAGGAGGAGGAGGAGGAGGAGGAGGAGGAGGAGGAGGAGGAGACCTGCAAACATCCAGGAACATCCAGGAACATCCAGAGACTCGGGTTTTCCTGGAGCTTCTGGAAATGATCTCGGTTTTTTCCAGATGTAGAGAGAGAGAGATCGAGCACACGTGAGGAACACAGAGGTTTCATTTCAGACAGCTCAGAACCAGAACCAGAACCAGAACCAGACCAGGTTCTCTCAGCACAATGAACCTGTGACGCCTTAGTCCTGGGACACTGTAACCTCCGAGAGTCCAGACGTGACGGCCGATGATGACAGACGCTTTTTTTATTTTTGAATATGAAGAAAAACAAACAAACAACAATCAAATTTAAAATATATAAATATATATGAAATAAAATGTATAATGAACGACAGACTCCACAGTGTGGTCTTCATGAGATTCCAGAGTCCTCGGTCGTACAGATAATGTAACACAACGTAATATCACACAATATTAATCAATCACTAATCAATCATCACGTAGTCTTACGTTACATCACTGTAACGGTTCTTTGACTTATGTTACGATGCTAACGCTTAATAATGTAACGCAGTACAACAGAAGTCTGTAACACAATAACCATGACTTATAAATGATAAACAGATAGTTTATTAATGTTTATTCATCATTTATAAACAGCATATAGACCATTAATAAATTATAAATGTTATAATTTTACAAACCTAACCCTAATTTATAATAACCATCTCAGTAATGTTTATAGATGGTTTATAAACTAACATTTACAAAGTGCTGCTGACACATTTTAATCTAGATGTTTTATAACCAATATTTAAACCCTTTATAAACCTTTAATCAATAGTCCATTAATAATTAATGAAGATTATTAATCATAATTTTATGCTTGTTAATGGTAAAGTCACTTTGAACTTACATTAATAAACTATCTATTTACCATTTATAAATGATGGTTACTGTAAAGTGTAACATAACTCACTGTAACAGTTTAAAGGTTGGATAGTCAGGAATCTGTTAAAGAAGCGTCTTTTATTTTATGGTGTATTTACAAAAAATCTTCTAATATCAGTCAATATTAGTTATTGATGACATTTGGTAATATATCGATATCTCTGTGTTCTCTTATGTCTGTGTAAAGTGCAAAGTAACAAAAGGTAACTGTAGTAATGTGACATAAACTCGGGGTTTAGACTGAGTAGGAATATCAGCCAAACAAAAACAACCATTTAAAGGTACAGTACGTGCTTTTTGTTCCAGTTTGACTCCATAAAGGAAAACCCGTCGGCTCAAATCAGGACGCCGTGACTCAGATAACTGACGAGGATAAAAACAGGAAAGAGTTCAGAACATCGGATCAGAACCTCTGTGATTGGACACCAGAGTGGACCGACTGACTCTGTTTTCCTTCGTTTGTTTGAGTTCAGGGGGCGTGTGTGTGTGTGTGTGTGCAGGTCAAACACTTCCAAGGCCAAACATGACTCATGAGCTTCACCTGTACTACAGATTTAAAGGGATGACTCGGCACAATGATAGGATTTAATTTGACAGGTTAATCAAACTTATTGATCCAGAATTCACTGAAACAGTTACTGACTCAGAGACGGACAAAAACAACACACTCTGGATAAAACACTTAAATTAAAGACACTAAAATTAAAAACACTCAAATTAAAAACACTAAAATTAAACACTCAAATTAAAAACACTTAAATTAAAAACACTAAAATTAAAAACACTCAAATTAAAAACACTAAAATTAAAAACACTCAAATTAAAAACAATAACATAAAAACACTAACATTAAAAACACTCAAATTAAAAACACTTAAATTAAAAACACTCAAATTAAAAACACTTAAATTAAAAACACTCAAATTAAAAACACTTAAATTAAAAACACTCAAATTAAAAACACTTAAATTAAAAACACTAAAATTAAAAACACTTAAATTAAAAACACTAAAATTAAAAACACTAAAATTAAAAATACTAAAATTAAAAACACTAACATTAAAAACACTCAAATTAAAAACCCTAAAATTAAAAACACTAAAATTAAAAATACTAAAATTAAAAACACTAAAATTAAAAACACTAAAATTAAAAATACTCAAATTAAAAACACTAAAATTAAAAATACTTAAATTAAAAACACTAACATTAAAAACACTCAAATTAAAAACACTAACATTAAAAACACTAAAATTAAAAACACTCAAATTAAAAACACTTAAATTACAAACACTACAATTAAAAACACTAACATTAAAAACACTTAAATTAAAAACACTAACATTAAAAACACTAAAATTAAAAACACTGATCATAATTAATAATTACACAAATATTAAAAAAAACCACACCGAACAGAAACCAGCAGGTGTAAAGGTAAAATCAAGAACTGTTTTTAGGACAGATTACATCATTGTGTGTTTACTATCAGCAAACACACACACACACACACACACACACACACACACACACACACTCTGTCCTCCTCTCTCTCTCATGACGGGAAATCTCTCTCTACAGTAAATCTCATCTTTCCGGTCACATCTCAGCTCAGCGTCTGATTGGCTGACACACTTGAGAGCTGCCTGCTGATTGGCACGAGGCCGGCTCAGGAGCAGCCAATCGGCTCGCTCGGTGCTGGTGGTGCGCTGCATCTGGTGATGGGTCTGACTGCCGGGAAGAGTCGAGAGGAGGCGAGCATCACCTCCTCCTTCCCCTCGGCTCGCTGTTTCCGGGAAGTAAGAGAGAGAGAGTGAGCGAGCGAGAGAGAGAGAGAGAGAGAGAGAGAGTGTGTGTGTGTTACTGTGTGTGTATTTGTGTGTGTGTAGTGTTCCTGCAGCATCGTGACTCAGTGTTTGTTAGGTGCTGAGTGGTGCTCCTGCAGACCTTTAACTCGCCATTTCAATGATCTCTGTTTGTGATTAAAGATGGCGTTTGGCGTGAGCAGGTCCGATGATGCACGCCAAAGAGCGGCGGCGTGCTGCGACACTGAAATGAGGTCACTGTGACGGGAGGCGTCGACCCCGGCGTCTGTTTGTCCGGTTCAAACAGATTTACAGGGTTGATGGTAAACGTTGGTGGGACGCTGACGGGGAAACACGAGTTTCCTACAAGTACCAGGATGCTTTGCAGCATTCCTGCAGCCCGGTAACCTGAATGAAAAACGCCCGTTTATGTCCGGGTCGTTGTCTCTGTATGCAGACGATTCATCCATTTATGCATCAATAATAGTGATTCCAACATCCATCAATTAAACTAAATGGTCGTTCAGGTAAGTCACCAAGTTAGGCTCCGCCCACAGTCCGTCAGGTGATCTTAACAGCAGTTTAGCTGACATGTCGAATAGTCAAACGTCCCTCCTCCTCCTCCTCCTCCTGTGGTCTGTCTTGATTTCCCAGTTTCATGCAGATCTTCCCCGATGTTGGACGGTTAGATTTTCGTGTAAACACGTGAACCTCAGAGGAGGATAACCCCCGATTTCTACCTTCATCCTGAACGTCGACGAAAAGGTCGTAACCGCCGATCGTAGCTAAACAAACAGGTCAGAACACTCTTTTGGATGGATGAGGAGATGCTGATTCTAGAAGTCTAGAAGTAGATTTCCTCCTCTGGAAGGACACAATCTACTGCTTATATGTCTATGTGTCTGTCTTTATAGAGACAACTCGTCATCGTGTGATTGATCGTGAGAGTTCTTGCGATTACCACCGTCTGTAATCTGCCACGAAATTCGCCTCACAAACCGACAGCACCACTATTCTGGATCGGAGCTGTTCGTGATGCGATGGAAATTGGGGGTAACCTTCAGCGTGGAGAGAAGAAAAGTTCTGTTCCAGTTCTCTGTGGTCTCCTCAGTGAAGTCAGAAGGTCGTGGTCAGAGTCTCTGATCAGCAGAGGTTCGTCTCGTCTCTGATGGTTATTTTTCTCAGAGTGTTGTTGAGATTTTGTCAGATAGTTTCGGTGTGACGTCGAAGAGTTCATCTCCTCACCTGTCCCTCTAACTAAAAACCAAGAACAGAACTTGTTTCTGCTCCTAATGAGGCCTCAGGACAGGTTTCAGGGCCGCTCTGAGGTCACCCTCTGAACTTCCTCTGCTGACCACCAGGTGGAGCTGTGACTCCACAGATCAGCTGTTCTCCTGCTCTGGGTTGTTATGAAGAAAATCCAGACACCAACATGAGTCACAGACGGAGTCAGACCCGGAGAAAGTGCGACCCAGACAGACAGACAGAAAATCAGACGCTCCGCTCCGCTCAGCTCCGCTCAGCTCCGGTCCACTCCGGTCCGGTCCGGTCCAGTCGGTCCTGACTCACTCTGCGTCTCCTTCCCTGTCCACCTCTCCGTCTGTAAATCTCAGACTCGCTCTTTTTTTCTGCTGACTTCACTTTCTCCTCTCACAGCTCAGCATCACTTTCCCCCAAATATCACAGAAACGTCTGAATCATGACCTCGCCGCTCAGCCTGACTCACGCCGTTTACTATCACAGACACTTTTAAAGACTCTTACTTTGAAACATCAGGAGTCAGAGTTCAACAGTTTCTGCAGATGTTTGTCCTCTCTGAAGAAAGTTTAATGAAACTTTGACTCGACGATGAAGAGCTCAGCTCGATTTTAAACCCTTTTAAAGTTAAAGAACAGAAACTTGAACATGAGAACTGTGTGGATAAAGTCGTTTATTTTGTTGTCGTGTTTATTTCCTGCGTCTCTCTCTCTGCCTCATGATCAGACTGACATCAGGATCCGTCGTGTTTTCGTCGCTCAGATTTGAGTCTCTGCGTGTTTTTCTCTGCGAGCGTCAGATCGCTGTTTTTCTGCAGTTTGACCTTTCAGTCAGTTTATCTGTTCAGATCGAGCCTCGAGCTTCACAGCAGCAGCTCTGTGACTGTCTGTCTGCTGAGTCATTCACTCTCTCTCTCTCTCTCTCTCCCTCTCTCTCTCTCTCTCTCTCTCCCTCTCTCTCCCCCTTTACTGGAATCTGTTATTAACAACTTTTATCTTCTCGCTCCTCGCACACTTTCACACCGGCTCTTTTACTCGTTTCTCTGCTGCTGCAGTTTTTTTTTCCCTCCTCCTCCGTCTGAAGGTTCGATATTTTTACCATCTGTGTTTCCTGCTCAGTGAGCAGCAGAGTCGACATGATGTCAGTTTGTCTGCGGGTCCAAAACTTTGATCCAGAGTGAGACATCCCAAAAACTGCAGCCACGGTTTTCCTCAAATCTGCTGATCTCCTCCGAAGACGATGAGTCGCGTCGGTGTCATCGTGTCAAAGCAGCGTCAGGTTTAGAAATCAGGTCGCCGTCCTGATGAGAGTCTGAGAGATGGTCTGAGAAATCGACCAATCAGAGAAGACTGACATTGTGGTCAAAACACTCTTTTGGAAAGGACGTTGTCGTTGACGTTGTCGTTGTCATTGACGTTGTCGTTGTCGTTGACGTTGAAAGGACAACTGGACTTAGTTGAGACATTCGCCTCAACTAAGTCCAGTTGTCCTTTCAACGTCAACGTCAACGACAACGACAACGTCAATGACAACGTCAACGACAACGTCTACGACAACGTCTACGACAACGACAACGTCTACGACAACGTCAACCACAACTTCAACATCGCCTTAAGCGAAACGTCTCAACTAAGTCCAGTTGTCCTTTCAACGTCAACAACAACGTCAACGACAACGTCAACGTCAACGACAACGTCAACGTCTACGACAACGACAACGTCTACGACAACGACAACGTCTACGACAACTTCAACATCGCCTTAAGCGAAACGTCTCAACTAAGTCCAGTTGTCCTTTCAACATCAACAACAACATCAACAACAACGTCAACGACAACGTCAACGACAACGACAACGTCTACGACAACGACAACGACAACGTCTACGACAACGACAACGTCAACCACAACTTCAACATCGCCTTAAGCGAAACGTCTCAACTAAGTCCAGTTGTCCTTTCAACGTCAACAACAACGTCAACGACAATGTCAACGTCAACGACAACGTCAACGTCTACGACAACGTCAACGTCTACGACAACGACAACGTCAACGACAACTTCAACATCGCCTTAAGCGAAACGTCTCAACTAAGTCCAGTTGTCCTTTCAACATCAACAACAACGTCAACGACAACGTCAACTACAACGTCTACGACAACGACAACGTCTACGACAACGACAACGTCTACGACAACGACAACGTCTACGACAACGTCAACGACAACTTCAACATCGCCTTAAGCGAAACGTCTCAACTAAGTCCAGTTGTCCTTTCAACGTCAACATCAACAACAACGACAACGTCAACGACAACGTCAACGACAACGTCAACGACAACGACAACGTCAACGTCAACTTCAATTTCAACTTCAACATCTGAGAGATCGACCAATCATAATAGACTAAACAGATGTGAACCAGTGTGAACTCGCACCGACTTTAGCATGACGACATGATCAAGATCTGCACGAGTTACTTATGCTAACAAGATATCGACATTTTCCAATGACCATCAAATCCTGAAAACAAGACGTTTAAATGTGACGATGAGAAATCAAGATCATAGAAGAACAAGATGAAAACGGTCAAGAAATCAGCTGAAAAACAGGCGGACAAGATATTAGCATGCGCACGAAATTTCGTATAAGAAAGTCGTGAATGTGGAGATCAAGATATTAACCTGTAAGAGTAACAAGATAACCAACAAGATACTCACATGTGAAAAATGTTATTTATTGACGTGTCAGTCAAGATAATTTCATCATGTTAACATGCAAAAAAAACAAGATAAAAGTTATCAATAAAAAAATGAAAACATTAACACGAGCAAACAAGATCTAAATCTGCAAACAAGATGATGTGCATGAAAGTTTCAAATGTGAGAGTCAAGATACTTACAGGTGGGATCAAGATACCAAATATGAAATAAACAAGAGACTGAAGAAGAAATGAACATAAACATGAAGACAGTCAAAAACACAAGATTCAAAACAAGATCAATTTAGGTGTGAACAAGATCAAATGGACAAACAAAGAAAAGTGAGACGATTACAAAGTTTCAGGAACGTGTCAGCAAGATATTTATCTGTGTGATAGAAGCAAGATATTTACACGTGCAAACAAGATACTAGTGTGCACAAACAAGATAGAAACATGATGAAGTCAGATCTAAACATGCAGACAGAACTTTGATTTATGAAACGTTATAAAAACGATATTAAAGATAATCAAGATTTCAACTTTGTCAAATATGAGAACAAGATACGGAGGTGCAACAACGCAGGATATTAAACAAGATATTCCCATATATCCCAGTGAGACGTTACAGAGCTTTAATGTGAGAACATGAACGTGTGAAGAAGTTTGTGTTTCACTGAAGATGAGAGAGTGAATATGGGGGGGGGGGGGGGGGGGGGGTCTGCAGCTGAAGGGAGACGATGAGAGTCAAACCCACCTGACCTCTCCCTCTCTCTCTCTCTCTCTCCCCCTCCCCCCCCCCTCTCTCTCTCTCTCTCCCCCTCTCTCACCTCGACTCTCTTCCTCTCAGAAAAACAGAATAACATCTTCATAATCAGCCGATCAGAACCGGGCTCTGGCTCTGGTTCTGGTTCTGGTTCTGGTTCTGGTTCTGGTTGTTTTCCTGAACTCTGCTGTTGCATCATCATCACTTCCTGTTTCTGTCCGCTCAGTTGGTTCTGTTTTCCCGTAAGTCCTCAGCGGACTCTGATCTCAGGTCAGGGTTCGAGCTTCGTTCTGCAGAGTCACTTTGCAGATAAACAACCTGCTGCTGAACTGGTTTACTCCTCAGCGCTGAGGACACACACACAGGGCGCTCTCTCTGTGCAGTCACCATCCTCCTCCTCTTCATCATCATTAACAGGATCATCATCCTCACCCTCAGCAGCAGCAGCAGGTCGCCGTTGTTGACGGCGGTGGTCGTCCTGTTTTCTGCAGCTGAACGACTGAATGAGGTCATGTTGTTGTTCCTGCTGAGCTGAGCTGGAGGGCTGCCCGGTATCACCTCAACACATTCCTGTCTGTGTGTGTGTGTGTGTGTGTGTGTGTGTGTGTGTGTGTGTGTGTGTGTGTGTGTCTGTGTGTGTGTAGATCAGATGGTTTCCCTGCAGCAGCAGCAGAGTCTGATTTTCCGAGGAAAGCTGAGCTCCACCCTGATCTGATCTGAGGTCAGTCTGTCGTCAGCTCGGTGGGCGGAGCTCTGAGAGACTCTGCAGCGGCGCAGACCCGGGGTCAGAGGTGAAGTGTGTTTTTACCCCTCAGCGGACTGAGCTGAAGGAGGAGGTGGACCTCCACCCTCCGATTGTGGAGGTACCTGCTGAGGTACCTCTGAACCTTCAGTCTGACCACCGCTGCTCCAAACTCGTCTCATCAGATTTTATTTCATTCACTCCGACACGGAAACAATCA